CGCCGCTAACATCTTCATTTTTAAAGCAATCAAGACGTAACAAAAAAGGATATACGTAATTTTACTTTGTCTATCAAATGGCTATCTCGTTTTTTTTTTGAAAATTTTGGATTTTGGCCCAAATTTTGTCAAAAAACTGACTTTTTGGGGAAAATAGCTATAAAATCCAAAATTCTGAGTGTATCGAAAAAACCGGAATATATGTCAGAGAAGTGGTCTATGTGCACCTACATACCAAGATTTAGAAGAATCGGTTCAAAAATGTGGGAGTTATTCAAAATTGTATGACGTCACGACACACAAAAATTTTGAAAAATGACTTTTTTGGAAGTTCTAGACCTCGTACGGAAACAAAAGTAGCACCATTCGATTCGCCGTGAAAAACTGCATCAGATAGACACCTTTTTAGGCCTTAACAACCAACTTCAGAATTTGACCTCACTTCACCTGACCTTGACCTGACCTCGACCTGAAATTCATCCAGAGGTGGTCCATATCACTTATTGAGTGTGCCTATTGAATTCTATGAGTAAAATGACCCATAAAACATGTGTCGCACATGCCCTTTTCTATATTTTGTTTTTGGTGACCTGACCTGACCTGACCTTGACCTTGACCTTGACCTTTGAATGATATTGTATGCAACGAATATTGTCTTGGTAGCCTAAGAACACGTTTTGGGCGATCAGTCTCAGTCCATGACTCCATTCTTCGGCAACTACGGTGCAAAGCCGATACTGTAGGAACTTGCAATTTGTACCCTTGACCTGACCTTGACCTTGACCTCAAACTTAAAATTAAGTACATGTTTTTAGTTGTTCGTGATGAGATCTTTCGATTGGCGTTTGAATTTTCCAAATCGGACCATTAGTTTGGGAGATAACAGGGGGGGGGTTAAATTTACCCCCCCCCCCCCAGCCCCGCGCGTTCGGCTGGAGACCCCAGCCCCGCGCGGGTTAACCCGCTCCGGGTCGGTGCTTGGCGCAACCTTTGAGGGCCGGGAGGTGGTAAAACACCCCCTGTTTAACTTGGCTGCTGGGTCACGCACTGATTGAACTATGTTTCATTATCGTTTGGGGGGGGGGGCAAACAGGCCACTTAAGCCTTTGGGGGGGCATAGCCCTAAGTGCCCCCTCCCTGCAGATCCGCCAGTGTAAGAGACCAATGGAGCTGGAGGAAGGTCTGCTAGGTGGACATTCAGGACCGGGACCACGGTCTGGTTACGGGTACTTGGACCGGGCTTTGCCATGGCCTGAGAATGAATGAGGAACTTCACCACCAATGCATACATCGACAGTCGACACCATCACGAGAGTGCAATCAACACTGGCGGCCGCAGCCCCTCGAGGTGAAACTCAGCGCTCCTCCATGGGCGGCAGCGGCCGTCGTTCTCGTCCTCGGCAGGATCTGGACACGAGACGGCTCACAATTGTGGCTTGGGTACTATGATTATGGTTAGAGCAGACGAAAGTTATCACTGTGCTGCTGCCGCGGTTGGGCTCGAGGGGCTCGAGTGTCGACTACATAGGCGTCTGTGGCGCTAGCGTGTCTGGTCTGAGTTCCGACTGAGATTATGGGCTGGTGCCGGACGTGGTTTGTCCAGAGTTTAGCTGCGCTGAAGCGAAGATCGCATTACAGGCGTGACTTTAAAAAGTGTATCGACAACGTCTACACTAAATAAAGTCAATTAACTACCGACCTGAAACTACGCTTAAACTCTTCACCCACGAACTCTGCCTGAGACTTTCGTGAAAACCACCGTATTATTACTGCCACTAACACCAAGCAAAACCAATGGAGACTGCAACGCCCGAAAAGTGGGTGCAAGCTTTTGGAAATCGCGACTGCGCTTGTTGTAGGGTGTGTCACTAGAAACAGATCAATTGCTTCCGCTGATTTTCCTTGTCCCTGTGTCTATGGAAGCCCATTGGTGCAGTTCTTTTTTCCATGCATCAAAAATTCGATCGGCGCCGGCTAAAAGAAGTTCGGGATTTATCGTGGCGCCCGGCGTTGCAGTCTCCATGTTTGGCGTAATGCGTTTGATGACACTAACACCAGCCGCGCGCGTCTTCGCCTGTTAGCGTTGACAGACGCTGTCAATACGGATGTGAGCAATGCAAACGAGGCAGTATCCTCTTTTTAGACAACGGTTACACAGAAAAGATGCATCTTTGCCATTCAATAGCAAACTGAATTCAACTGAATTAGCATTTGCCTACCTTGTATGGTTCAGGGGACCGATTTTCTTCCAGACCTCCTTTGAGGAGATGTTGCCCGTCCGCGCGGCTCTGGTGAGCTGATACAGCAGGAGTTGGATACAGCAGCCAGCTGCCTTACCCAACGGCCCCGTGAATGATCCGGGTCCACTGGTTTTGCCGTCCAAGTTCTGGAACACTTCCCTGAGTACAAGCTCATTCGAGTGCAGCTGGCAAGCAAACCAATGGACCGTTTTCTCTTGAATAAGCTCCAAAAGTCGGCATATTCCTCCAGATCTGCCCGTATTGACAGCCGCGCCATCGCAGCCTATTAGCCAGAGTGGCAGCGTTTATCAGCTCATTGGCTTGATCAATGGCTTTACCCGAAATTGGCGTAAAGTTGGAGAGATATTCGTTTCCTGGTTCTGCTACCTTAGCCACATGTTCCTCAGCTGCCGTGTCGCCGCCTCGGCCCGTGCTAGTTTGATCATGCCTTCCATCAAAGTACATGGCCTTGAGCTCAGCGTCGCTGTGTTGTTGGTCCCGCGCGGCCACTGTACTTTGTCTCATCCGGCATCTTTCTCTCTTTCGGGTCGACCAGCAATTCTGCTTTGCCGCTCGCTACGCGACCGATATCCATCTGAAAACCGTTGATGACGGCCGTCACAGCACGGTTGGATAAACCATACCTGTCAGTCAGCTGCCAGTGCAGTGTTTGTCATATCATCATCGTTTGAGTCTTTGATGCATTTCTTCATCTCAAATCATCTTCAGTGCATCACTTGTGACGTCTTCATTGCTGTCGCTGGTGTCGGTCGTTGCCGACGAGTCTACCTGGCCTGTCTCGTCGATATTGACGCCGTTGGAATAGGTACGGAGGTGGGAAGGACCAGCTTGACCCACGTCGCCCCTCCTCTCGTTCCGCTCCCGTCTCATTCTAAGGCTCGCAGTCTTACGCCGTTTCCTTGTCTCCTCGTAGTCCACACCACCCAGTCTCATCTTCCGAACTCCTCTCTGGTCTCGAAGGAATGCTATTTCCGCTGGCGGTACCCGGTTTGAAAGTGGACAGGTACAGCTTCGCCGATCTTTACAGCGGCAGCGGGCGATGTCAAAAAGCTTACGAAACAGACTCGCTTCAGAAAGACTTTGTTTCGCTTGTCCCTCCTGCATTCTTTTGGGCACCTTATTCGATCGGCGAAATCTTTCGTAGATTTGCTTTACCTTCCGAACCACATTGTGCATTTGTATCGTTGGTATGCCCTCACTCGACCACATTGCAACCACAGCTTCCGCTGCTTCACGTAAACATGCAGTGACTGTCCGCTCACTTTTTCTATCCCCTGCCAAGAGTCTCACATAGTTCAATACAACTCTGTTTGTAGGCAGCTGATTTACCTACCGGCAACACACTGGGAGACCCGATAACAAAATGTTTCGCTTTGCTTCGCAACGGCATCACTGCGGCACGGATAGTCCGATTCGATTGCGCCACACGCATTTCTGCTCACGCCGCAGCTGAAACCAGACTGACCCACGTTCTTCACAAGCTCGTGTGCCTCGGGGAGACAGCACATGACTCAAAAGCCGACACATTGTGTTGCCGACGGAGGGGTGATACCCGAGACCCCGCTCACGTTGCCCTCTGTCCATCCGTGCTCTCATTCTCTCTGCCCCACTCGTGATAGTCTTGCCAAGGCTGCAGCTTGATCCTATTATATGGATCATCTGTGGGTCCCTGAATGGCCCCAACACATTAAGATAGCAGTATGTTTCGTCCGACGTCCATTTAAACAAGAAATAGCAATCGAATTTTAACCGTCAAACGGTGTTGGCCGCAACAGTCCGACGGCGAGTCATATGGCTGGTGTTAGCGCTACGGTACGCATTGTGTTCAGTATGGAGACTTCAACGCCGGGCGCCATGGGAAATGTCGAAATTGATTGGGCCCGCGCCGCCTGAATTTTCGGTGCAGCGAAAAAAGAACGGTGCCAATGGGCTTCAATGAACCCAGGGACGAGGAATATCCGCGGAAGCGCTTGATCTGAGACAAAAATATTAGATATGACACACCCTATTGTTGAAGACAATGGCTCATAATTTTTTAATTGCGATTTTCGAAACCAGTAGACTCGATTGCAAATGTTTTGGACTATAAGCATGTCAACTTTATTTTTCGAGACACCCTAGTGGTTATCCCATCCACGGTTTTTTCCCCAGACCGTCATGATTTTGAACTTCCTACCCTTGTACCGGCGGTCTTTCTTGAAGGACGTTAACTGATCAGAAGGCAGCTCGATCCTTTTGAGAACTCAAAAACCGTAAGGCTGATTTCAGTGAGGAAAGTGAAATTCCGTTCATCTCATCGTAAACCACAAAACTAACCCATGAAGAATCAAATTATCGCGAATTTGGGGCTCAGTAGAGTAAAAAAATGTAACAAAAAAAATCAGTCTTTATCAAGTGCCAGTGCTATGGGATGACTTCTTGTGCTGGTAGTTGTCAACGCACGTTTCTCTCTCGCCTTCAGCGTCGTGATTTATATTTTTGTTACTTTTGCTCGCCGTCGAAGGCCATCCGTCGGACAGTCTAGGAGGACTCCTGTCGCAGGGCGACTGCTGGCCTGTTCCCGCGGCGCCGCGGCACAACGACGCGGCGCTGTTTTCGGAAGCCCGTTGGCGTGCTGGTGGCTGTGATGCCCCGGCGATCGGCCCGGGTCCGTTCCTTTTGTGTCGGCCTACCAGCGCTGACCGGTCGTCGACGGGCCGATTTTTTCGGCCGGCGCCGGTGGACTATTGTTCAATTAGCCGGCGGGCGAGCCCGCTCCGAAACGGGCCGCCGCTGGACGAGGAAAACGCTGCTCCAGGATGTGCCGCGGGCGGTGGCCGTCTGCACGGACGGTCGCCTTTCGGTGACGTCGATCAACGAGCCCGCGGGGGGTGTGCACCACTGACAGCGGTATATATTGCACTCGAGGACGGACCGCTCTTCAGTTTTGGACTGGCTTCCGACTCCCAACACCATCAACATGAAGGTAAGGGATCGCGGCGCGGCGCGGCGCGGCGTGGAGTGGCGCAGTGGCGACAGTGGTGTGTGCGATCATCTTCCACTCACCCGCCGCGATAAGAGTGCCGCCGAACTGTCGACTGTGCTCGCCAGTGAGAAGCGCCAGAGACTCGAGTGAAGTGGGATGCCGCCGAGAGCACCGGAGGATCCAACTTCCTGAATATCATAGTGTGATGGCGACTTGCCGCAGTTCGTCTGCTCAAGTGTCTCTTGCCAAGTGTCAAGAATGGCTGTTTTTGTTCACTATCGCTTGTAATTTTCTTTTTTTATGCAAGCACTTATATTCATTGATAAGTTTTCAAAACTAAGTTCATTTATTCATACCTCATTGAGCCAAAAAATATATCTCTTTTTATAATAGATATTTGCCATGAAGTCTGCCAGAAAGCTTCACAATAAATTCAAACTTAGGTTTTCCATTGAATTTTGATGCATGCGAATTTCCTATACATGTATGCAGCTGGCACAATATTGCGTTCTTTCTCGCTGCGGATGATAAGTACCCTTTTTTTTGTGTGTGAAATTTTGCCGTCGGTACATTAAAGAACAAAACCGAAAAACTTAATCCCATAATTTTCAAGCGACCTTTGTGTTGCTCACTGTGCGCGAAATTGGCAGCTGTCTTTGTGTTGCAAATGTTGAAATTATTAATTACATATTTATTATTCACCAGTAGCAAAGAAGCGTGTAGAAATAATCAAGCTGAAAATAATCTATGCTAAAATGAGATCATTGTTTTTCACCTACTGATTAAACTTTTATGGCTTATTTCAGTATTCAAACTGGCTTATGAATTATCTCTGGAAAAACTACTTGATTTTTTTCATTATTGTGTACTTGGCCAGCTTGGAATGCTGGAGGTGGTGTGGGTGTCCCTCACTGACCGTGCGTCGCCTGTCGTCTGCCCTCAGCCACTCCAGTTGGTATCGGCCCTGGTGGTCCTGATCTGCCTCGTCTCGTTGGTCTCAGCTGGTCTGAGGCTGCGCCGGTCGCGCGAGGAGGATGGCCAGGAGCTGGCCTACGCACACCAACTGGAGAGCCAGGTGCCCTATTTCATCAGACGCCAGGAGCGCTCTGCTGAGGGCTACGTAATCGACAACAGTGGCGATGACGACAGCGACGTCCAAGCCGAAGATAGCGGAGACGCCGGAGCCGAGGAGTCGGGCGGAGACGCCGGCTCCGAAGGCAGCGAAGGCTCCGACGGAGGCAACAACGGAGAAGAGGAGGACTCCGGTGACGACTCTGGCGAAGACTCTGGATCTGATGGCGACGACAGTGCGTCTGACGGCGAGGAATCCGAATCGGACGGAGAGGACTCCGAGTCTGACGGAGACGACGAATCCGATGAGGACGACTCCGAATCTGATGGCGAGGACTCCGACGGAGACGACGAATCCGATGAGGATGACTCTGAATCTGATGGTGAGGACTCTGAGTCTGACGGAGAGGAGGACTCCGATGAGGATGACTCCGAATCTGATGGCGAGGACTCCGAGTCTGACGGAGACGACGAATCCGATGAGGATGACTCTGAATCTGATGGTGAGGACTCTGAGTCTGACGGAGAGGAGGACTCCGATGAGGATGACTCCGAATCTGATGGCGAGGACTCCGAGTCTGACGGAGACGACGAATCCGATGAGGATGACTCCGAATCTGATGGCGAGGACTCCGACTCTGACGGAGACGACGAATCCGATGAGGATGACTCCGAATCTGATGGCGAGGACTCTGAGTCTGACGGAGAGGACGACTCCGATGACGATGACTCCGAATCTGATGGCGAGGACTCCGAGTCTGACGAGGACGATTCTGAATCTGATGGTGAGGACTCCGAGTCTGACGACGACGATTCCGAATCTGATGGTGAAGACTCCGAATCCGACGGCGAGGACTCCGAATCTGATGACGATGACTCTGAGTCCGACGACTCCGACTCCGATGATGACGACTCCGAGTCTGACGGCGACGATTCTGAGTCTGATGACGACTCCGAGTCTGATGACGATGATTCTGAGTCTGACGACTCCGACTCCGATGACTCCGAGTCTGATGACGACGACTCTGAGTCCGACGACTCCGACTCCGATGAGGATGACTCCGAGTCCGAAGATGACGATTCTGAGTCTGACGACTCCGAAGACGATGACTCCGAGTCCGAAGACGATGATTCTGAGTCTGACGACTCCGACGACTCCGAATCCGAAGACGATGATTCTGAGTCTGACGACTCCGACTCCGATGAGGATGATTCTGAGTCCGAGGACGATGATTCTGAGTCTGACGACTCCGATTCCGACTCCGACGACTCCGAGTCCGAAGACGATGATTCCGAGTCTGACGACTCCGACTCTGAATCTGACGACGACGAGGGCGAGGAATCCGATGACGGTGGCGAGAACCAGCGCAAGAAGAAGAAGAAGGTAGCGTCGAAGGAGGAGGGCTCCGCCGGTGACGATGGTGGCGACGCCGCCGAGGAAGAAGAGGAAGAAGAGGAAGAGGAGGAGGAAGAGGAGGAGGATGACTCCGATGATGACTCCGACTCTGATGACTCCGACTCCGACTCGGGTGACTCCGACTCCGACTCGGATGACTCCGACTCCGAAGACGACAGCGACTCCGGAGAGGAAGGCTCGGGCAAGTCTGGAAACAACAGCGAATCGGATGACGACTCGGATTCGGATGACGACTCGGATGATGACTCCGATGACGACAGCGATGACGACTCCGATGACGACAGCGATGACGACAGCGACTCGGATGATGACTCCGATGACGATAGCGAGTCGAATGATGACTCCGATTCGGATGACGACAGCGAGTCGGACGACAGCGAGTCGGATGACGACTCCGATGATGACAGTGAGTCGGATGACTCCGATTCGGATGACGACAGCGACTCTGATGACGACAGCGAGTCGGATGACGACTCCGACTCCGACTCCGACTCCGATGATGACAGTGAGTCGAATGAAGACAGCGACTCCGAGGACGACAGTGAGTCTGATGACGACAGTGACTCCGATGACGACAGCGACTCCGATGACGACTCCGATGACGACAGTGACTCGGATGATGACTCCGATGACGACAGCGACTCGGATGACGACTCCGATGACGACAGTGACTCGGATGATGACGACAGCGACTCCGATGACGACTCCGATGACGACTCCGATGACGACAGTGACTCGGATGACGACTCCGATGACGACAGCGACTCGGATGACTCCGATGACGACAGCGACTCGGATGACGACTCTGATGACGACAGCGACTCGGATGATGACTCCGAAGACGACAGCGACTCGGATGATGACTCCGATGACGACAGCGACTCCGACAGTGACGACGATGATGAGGAGGAAGGTGAAGATAACGGCGATGCCGAGAACAACGGCGATGCCGGCAGCAACGGCGATGCCGGGACCGACGGCGAACCCGGTTACAACTACGCTGAGGCCAGCGGCGGAGAAGAGGCCAAGGCCGAGTCCAGCGGACAGGGCGAGGCGGCCAAGGCCGAGGAGCCTGAGGTCGTGCTGGTAGTAGAGGAGGTGGCCGTGCCGGAGCCCGAGGTGGTGGTGCCGGTAGTCGAGGAGGCCCAGTTCTACGAGCCGGTCGCGCCGCGCCCCAAGCCGTTCTTCCCGGCCGGCTACAACCAGTTCGTGCCGCCGTTCGCCGGCGCTCCCAACACGCTGGTGATCACCCCTCCCGCAGCGGGCGTGCAGCAGCAGCAGCAGCATCAGCAGACCGCCTACCGGAAGCGCCGCGGAGCCTACTAGACAGTCCAAAACCAGTTCAACACCGGGCGGAGACGCCGATAGGCTGCTGACGCGCGTGGGCGCACATCGAGGGCCTGAGCGGTCACATTCGGCGAAGGCGGCCACACGCAATCCGCCAACGCCTGGCGAAACCGGCAGGCTCTTGAACACTGATATTCTGTGAACTCCTGGTGATGGCTGTGTCCACGCTATCCCGTGCTCTCCTATTTTCGTCACGTGTGAGTTTGTTTTCCAAAGAACCGCTGCTGTGTGTTATAACGCAGCTGCGATGATGCTATAACCTGCTGCTAGATGCGGACACTTCTCTAGCTCGTCTTCCACAGCGACCGAAATCCAGCGTCGCTCACTGAGCTCGCACCGCAAACCTTCTCACCCTCTGTCTTATTCCATCACCCTTTCCACTTTTCTTCCCATTCCTATGTGTGTGCTGTCGTTATTGAAAGTTGTGCGTGTCTGTCCCTTGTTAACTGTGTGTGTTCTCCTTTGTCCCGTGATAACTTCGTCCTTCGTTCTACGTTTCTTGTGTGCATGCCTCCCCTACGGAGGTGTCCCTCGTGATATGCATGTTCGTGGCGTCCCCTGTTCGGTTCTGTGCCCTTATGTTCGTCCACGTTGTGTAGTTTGTAGGTGATTGGGCGATATGTCCTGCAATATACATATATTTCTTCGTGACGTTTGTGTGAACAATGCATGCGGGCGTGCAGGGCGCTAATGTGGGAAGAATGAGAATAGTGAATACCATTGTTACATGTTGATGGTGAGAAGCAAGGAGCCGCAAATACATTGAGCAATATATGTCAGCGTTTTACGGTATTCACTCACATTTGGCAAATTCCTTTTCACCTAACAGTTAGGAACTTAACTGTAATTCCGCATTGTTCATCGCATATTCAAACACGCCACCAAGTCACACAAGCGTAGCTCCACCTGGTACACCTTCTAGACATGCCGTGACTGGTGATAACTGGATTTTGACCGCAACTCACGCTATCCAGAGCTCTTAGTCGGCTGAGCTTTTCCCCATAGCTCAGTCGGTAGAACGCCGGACTCCCGGTTGTTGAAAGCTCTTACTGTACTTGCCTAGTCGCTCGAAAGCTAGGACTGACGGTGTTGACTTACGGTACGACAATCAGTTGAGAAATTGTTAGGGGTTTTACTGTATGCCTGGCCTATTCAAATACATTAGCCTGAGGGGTGTGGTAATAACTGGTGTAAGCAAAGTGACCACGGTCAAAAACGAATTACCAAGTCAACATTTTGGGATGGCCTCGTTCAAAAAATGGCTAAGAGCTTCGGTCTAGACAATTATTTTATCGTTGGCATACACTAAAATACATACCGAACTCGGCCGGTGATAAATTTTCAAGACCTCAGTCCTTACTGATTTTTGAACTCGGCCTTCGGCCTCGTTCAAAAATTCAGTAAGGACCTCGGTCTTGAAAATTTATTTACACCGGCCTCGTTCAGTATTATACAGGGTGATTTTTTTTACTTGTTAACCCGCGAGTTGCTGGGGGGGGGGGCGTTAAACGCCCCCACTTTTTTCGCCGGGCCATAGCATAAAAACGGCGCGCCGCAGGCGCGCCAAATTTTTGGTACCTGTAGGGAATTGATTGAAGTTTATTGTGACAAAGTTTCAAAAAAAATCGGTCAGAAAATTTTTGAGATATCGAGGTTTTAGTGACGTCATGATTTTTGAATTTTCGACCAAAAACGGCGTATGTTCAAAAAATCATATAAAATCACAAAATAGACATACAGACATGCCGTAAACGCCATTAGACTGCCAATACCATGAACAATCAAATGGCTATCTTCGATTATTGATTATCGTTCCGCATTTTCCAAAATCTTCAACTGAATCTTGACAATTTCTCGTGACTACTTCACGACTATGATACATGCATTTCTTAAATTAAACTTTTTTAGCCAAACACGTACACATATGATAAAATGAATGTCACCATCGTGTTCTACGCCCCAAATTACCCATAAAACATGTGTCACGGGCTGCGAATATCAGTTTTGATTTTCGGGGATATGTGCCTACCCGGTTGACCTGACCTTGACCCTGACCTATGCTTGACTGACCCCTACATGGAGCTGACACTCTTGTAGGCCTTATACGATGGATTGTGCACCATTTTGACAGAGTTTATGACGAGAGGCGCCCATTGCGAAGTCCTGAAGTCCATGCTACTGAAAGGCCGATTTCAGGTGTTTGACCTGACCTTGACCCGACCTGTGACCTCAAAACTTAACTTTAAAGTACTCATCTGAAGCGTCTCGTCGCGCTCTTTCGTTTGCCGCCTCGTGCGTTTCGCTGCGCCTATTGGTTCTCGAGTTATCGGCTGGGGGCGTTTAACGCCCCCCCCCCCAGCAAACGGTGGGTGGCGAAATACCCCAGCAACTGCCGGGTTAAAAAGTAATGAGGTCTAGTGGGGTTAAAATGCAAATATATCTTGCAAAGTTATATGCCAGGATGGCGAGCATTCTGGGACATTTTGATTTCATGCAGACACGATGCGAAGGAACGTCCATCGTGTATTTTACTTGTGCTTGAAGTTACCCCCTCTCTCACCGACACGACTCAGCCCGCCTGAACACGTGTTAAACAGCACCATGGACTCCCATACTCATTAGGCGGACTGAAAAGGCTCCTATCGCCCATTTTCAGCTCTGCCAGATATTTCCACTGTTTTCTTGTTATATCTGCCATAGCTGGGTCCAAAAACTAGAAGTTTAGGGAGGGCAGGTCGAGGATTTTGATACTGGCGGCCCTGATGGTGTCTGATTCGCTGTTTTTCTTTCTCCCTGAAGACTGATTCTTCAAAAGCTGCTCATACGCCAGATGGACCGTTTGAAGGTTATTTATGACTACAAGCTTGTTCATGCGTTATTTAACGTCTTTCTGAGGTATCTCCTTGATCATCGTATGCTTCGAACTGCCTCAATGCTTCAAAATCATCGTTTTGTGTCGTTCCTTACTGAACGGCGGTGGACCATGCGTGCCCGATTGGTGGGACATTTTCAGGCTCCATTGGGGCCGAGGCCGTCGGTCAAAAGGGACAAATGATGACACCATACAAAATGTCCCAGATTTATCTATCACGTGCAATGCTTTTTTGCACGCGATTTTTCGATTTAGGGACCACCATTGACGTTTACTTTTTAACAGTTAAAAAAAATCACCCTGTATATTACCATGCTATTGCTAATCTATGGTGCTTAACCCAAACCCAACAACGAGTTTAGATGCCAAGTTCTTGGATCATTCAGAAGTTCCGTTCCGACGACAAAGGTCAGAGTTGTGCAACAAACTGCTAACTCAGGGGTTGTGACCTCAAAAACCTTCCATTGGGTTAAACCTAAATTAAATAAATGCAAACATTTCCAACTGTCTATAAGCCTTCGTTTCCAAATGCCCCTCCTGTATACCTCCAATCAGTACAATCAGTGATGGAAAGAGAGTTTTTAGTCGTTTTTCAGTAGGATTTATTCTAGGAAAGGGACCCATCCTATAACCATTTACGGAAAGCTGTTGTTAATACTTTTGGTTTAGGAGGCGTGGATACTGGCTAGCACTTATGTATATATAAAATCCCACTTCTAAAGATGATTGCAGTACCTTGCAATAATTCATGTATAGCATAGCAGATGATCGCTGCCAACATATGATCGCTATTTTGATACCTCCAAGAGTTAGGTATGTGCAAAAAGCTGATCATTCCCCAAGTATCACTGTGTATTGACACAACGGCCAGGGAGAAGCAGAAACCGTATTCATCTTATTTAACCCGCGCCCCGTAGGGCTACCGGCGGACCCTACCACCCGTAGGGGGGGGGGGCCGTTTCGGCCCCCCCTAAGATCTCGGAAAGTTACCGGCCGATTTTCAAAATTCAAACGGCGTTTGATAGCCCTACCCGGGAACTACCTTGTGACCAAATTTCATTGACCTAGGTCAAACCGATGACGTCACAGGTCAGGTCAAAGGTCAGGTTTTCACCGTTCACAGGCAATTCAAGAAATGTGCTGTGAAATCGAGTAAATTGGTAATTTATTGAAAACCATCGATGGTATATTGTTCGTCAAACACATACTTTGCTATCTGAGGTCACTGATACCAGGTCAGGTCACAGCGAGGTCAGGTCACCGGGGGTCACAATATGAATGTGTCGTGTGATACATGTTTTATGGTCCATTTTACATGACAAATGCGATTATGTGGGTTAGGCAGCCTTTGGGGCCAGCCTAGGTCACGTTTCGGTGAAGGTCAGGTCAAGGTCAGGTCAAATTAGGTCAAATTTCAAAGTTGATATTTTTGCATAAAATGGATATCCATTCGATGCAGCTCGTCACGGGGAGTCTAATGGTGGTCTTTGTTTTGCTCTACGGGTTCTAGAATTGCCAAAAATTGAGTTTGAAAATTTGACGTCATCATTTTTGAACAGTTTTTCGCTATAACTTGGCCAAAAAACGAGGTATCGATCTGAAATTTGGTATGTAGATAGAAGACGGTAGGTACTATCACATATATTCCGGTTTTTTCGAAACTCAAAAAACTTTTTGGATTTTTTGGCTAATATATCCAAAAAAAATGTTTTTTTGATTTTTGGGGATCAAAACTCAAAAATTTCAAAAATCCGAGATAGCAGTTTTGTAGCCCTGTCAATTCTACACCTTTTATGTCTTGATCATTTTTCTGTATCTTCAAAGCTGTAGGCCTGACAGGTCTTCTCGCGAAGGTCTTTTTTCGGTCGAAAATGACAGAACATGACGTCACTCTGACGTCATTTGTGGCCAACCTATCACAGCCTCTGGAAAAATTTTTGGTCACAATGTGTAAAATTGATGCTCGAAGGGGTCCTGAAAGTTTGGTGGCGATATCTTCAGCCGTTTAGGAGATATCGACCGAAAAGGACAGGGGGGGGGCCGTTTCGGCCCCCCCCCCTACGGGGCGCGGGTTAAATGATGCTCAATAACATAATTCAATGTTGCATTTTTGTGTATGCCTTTGTTCTGGTGTTGCTTAGGAAATGGGATTCCACATTCAGACTAATCATTAATGTTCATGAAATTTGGCGTATTTATTTACCTGTCTGTCTGTCTGTCTGTCTCTGTCTCTGTCTCTGTCTCTGTCTCTGTCTCTGTCTCTGTCTCTGTCTCTGTCTCTGTCTCTGTCTCTGTCTCTGTCTCTCTCTCTCTCTCGCTCTCTCTCTCTCTCTCTCTCTCTCTCTCTCTCTCTCCCTCTCTCTCTCTCTCTCTCTCTCTCTCTCTCTCTCTGTCTCTCTGTCTCTCTCTCTCTCTCTCTCTGTCTGTCTCTCTCTCTCTCTCTCTCTCTCTCTCTCTCTCTCTCTCTCTCTCTCTCTCTCTCTCTCTCTCTCGCTCTCTCTCGCTCTCCAGCATACAGGTTATGGAGTATAGACGCCATATCTCGTATCACCGACCCTAAATGCGTCCCACACACGGTCGACGCATTAGCTGGGAGCCAGCTATTCCCCCGCTTCATGCACTGAATGGCTTTATTGCCTGATGGCGCTTACTTAGTAGGGACGTCAATAGCACTTAGCATTGACCCTGCTCTTCATCGACCGGAAACCCCTTTTCAGATAGATTCTGAGTGACTGCGAACGAGATGCACTGAAGGATACTGAAACCGGATACTGAAC